AATCAGTCAGGAAAAGCAAATCTTGTGTTTGAAACAAACAAACAAACAAACAACAAATGAGTCAGGCACTTATACCTAGGAGATGGTTTGGGGTGCAAAACTCATCTCACTTAAGGCTTCAAATGTAAAGCTCATAAGAGTTGTGGAAAAGAGGAATTTAAAACATAATCCCTTTTTCAGTTGCCTAAGGCTCTCCCATTTCAGGCTGCTGGCTGTTTTGAACTCTGCTCCTGTAACATAACAATCCCTGTGAATTAATACACCATGAACTTCAGCATCTTTGTTCCTATTCTGGTTCTGGCACTTAAAACTTAGCCATATCAACACTGCCTGCCTTTGTGTGTATGTGTTCAGCATGTAAAAAGGGGTCTAGAATCTACTTAAGTTATGAAGGAAAGAGTTCAGTAGCCAACAACACCACTTTGTTGGTTCTGTTGACGTTTTTAAAGAAATTAATTTTTAAAATTCAAGGACGTTAAAGATATCTATGAGGTGACATATACAGAAATTATATAATTTCTATAATGAGAAATACCCTATTCACAAATCTGAAATTTTCAATTTGAGCCTCAAAAGCTTAATTATAGACTTGCTATATTGTGTTTCTGGTACTAAAGTGTGCATTTCATTTCAAAGTTCCTATTTGCTTGAAAAAGAAAGGACTAATGAAAAATAACAAACTTAACTAATTGTCAAACTCATTCATTTTGTATTCTAGTAAGGTAGAAATAAAAATCTTTGTTCCTTGTAAGTCATTAGAATTTCACACTCACTTTCCCAAAATTAGGACTTGATCCCAGTAGTGTAGGGATCAGTTCATATCAATGATTTAAGATAGCAATTTGAATTTGATAAAATTCTGTGAGATTACCAGGCAGTTGTTTAATTCACTGAGGTATCACTGCAGGGCAAAACTCCCACTTACCTGTTAGCATATTCTTTTCTCATGTTAAGGTATGTGCTATGAAAACAGTCAAAGCTATTTCTGGCAACTACACAAACTATTAAAAGAAAACAGAGTTTTGTACTATTTCCATTAAAAAACTTCTCCTTTCTTACTCATTCCATAAATGCTATAGGAGTCAATTATCAAGGTAACTCAAATCTCCTGAGATAAATGGTCTACCTTTTTGGGGCCTCTCCAGCACAGAAGTTTCCTGACCATTCTTTTTAGTCTTCCTTGGAGGTCTGTAACAATTTTCTATAGATGTTTTACTACTTCTTTTAGCCCCATTTTGTATTTGTCACATTAACTAACCCACATATGCAATTTTACTCAACATACCACAACTTCTAATTAAATCATCACATCATTTTTTGTCCTCCAAACTTGCCCCCTCATTTAATTCTGTATTCTTGTATTTTAATATTAAACCAGCTAACCAAGAGCCAGTCATCTCTGTTTAATGTTTTGTTCTGAAACATCCCTTCATGTTTTTTCACATTTTACATAGATTCTTTTCATAAAAGTGAATCTCCTTTCTTTTCTTTAATGCAGTGCTTTTTACCTATATTATTCACTTCAACTTAAAAAATTACTTATCCACTAAAAGTTGGCTAATCTCTCTTCCATCTTTCACTACCTATCCTTTTGCTAAAACAACACACATAAAACTGAATACTAGAATTACAAGGCTACTTCCCTGCTAATTTCTTATACAGATACGGTCTGTCAGTTCTAGATGACTTTGGACCGGCCCCAAACAAAAGAAAATATTCTGGGTAGTATAATCCTGCATGGAACAATGTGATCTGTATAAAAAATCACTTACTGAATCACCAGCACCTCTTTCCACTCCTAGGAGATCTCCCTTCGAAGTAATGCCTGAATTAGTGTAGAGTGATTTGTGGCTTTCCAGCTGTCAGTCATTAATTCTTAGGAAACACAATATACAATGCAACAGTACTCAGTCGGAGGTTGTAGTCTGCACTGCTTTAGGAATAGTATAATTTACCTGCTGAATATTCTTGAAAACTGTTTTCAAGCAATAATTGCAGCCCATTATTTCTATAACCCCTCAATCATGTTTCACTCCTGATGAAATATTGTGTCGGTTACAAAAACTCATAAAGCAGGCAGGGTAAGGAATTCCATCTATGGAGAATCTGGTCTATGAAACAAATTACTGAGTTGAAGACAACAGTTTTGCTCCAGTACTTTAAGTTACCCATTCATGTTTCTTAGGCAGAGAGGAAAACAGAGACAAACCCAGCAGCAGGGACTATAAAGTGACTTGGAATTCTAATCCACCTTTGTCATTTACAATCTAACTGACCAGTAACAGTTGCCCTATTTTAGAAATAATATTGAATAGCTATAATTCACTGCTAGCTGCCCCATCTCTTCAAACAAAACCATTACTTAGAGCCAGCACTAGAGGCAGGATGTGTTGTGACATTCCAGACCCATTTGAGTATCCAAGAGTCTGGGGACTTACCTTTAGGCCAAGCCAAGGAGCTGCTTGCATAAATCCAGTCAGGGAGACTGTGTAATGCCTGCTTCATCAAGAAATTTTGGCAAAATCTATGACAAGCTCAGTTCAGCCAAAAACACAGCACCTTTAGGCATGCACTGTAGCAGAACTTGAGCACATAAGGAAGTTTGCTGTTGGAAGCTCAGGCACCCCTGGCTTCCCAGGAATCAGAGAAGGCTGCCTAGGGATTTTTTTTTCAGGTCTATTGCTTTCTTGAATTTACATGTAAAGTAGCCTGAACTGCACGTTAGCAACCTAACATGTTTTTTCCCTCTTCCAGAGGGAAGATGGAAAAAATTTGATGATGATTTAACTCTTCCAGAATTAAGATGTAAATAAAAAGATAGCAGCATGATGTAAACACAAAATGAGTATCACAACAAATGCCAGGGTTAACAAAGTGTAACCATAGCTCAGTGTTTAGTAGGCACCATGACAGCAATTATTTTAAGGAAGGATTTGAAAGCAATCCTTCAAGCATTTTTATGGCAAACTCCTCCCATACTCAGGGGTTTTCATGCCTTTAGCTATTACATCTGCAACTGAAGCTAACTGTGAAATTGGCAATTTATTTATCCCATGGCACTTACACACACATTTGTAACAGTAAAAGTGAGTAAGGGTCTATAATGAATACTATAATAATAATAATATACTATAAGTTAGAACCCTTTTTAATCAGATTTTGTCATCCAGCATTTAATCAAATACCTGCAGAGATTCTCATGCTGACTGAAACACTTCTGTGCTCTTTCTTGTTGCTTTTATTACTAACACTGTTAACAAGATGCTGTTGTTTTCTAAACAAAATAATAAGAGCAGTGCCAAAACAAAAAGACAGGACAAAGAAAAGTTGACCTTAAACGTAACATCAAGAATTGCAAGGAAGCAGAAAGTGCCATTAAGTATAAAATAGAACAGTACTGGCTCTCCTAAGGAATGCGTGTACTTGTGAAAGTATTTTTCATTAAGATGCTATCCTTACAAAAACTCCATTAGAATTTGTAATCTATTTTTTGTATTGTGTTATATTATTTAAAAAACAAAACAAAATCAAAGGGTAAAATACCTTTTATGGAAATTAAGTATTTCTGATAACTTACCTATGAATTTGAAATAAGATTAAATAAGGTACAAAGTTGCTTGAAAGATGAAATTCATAAACATAAAAGCATACTGAAAATGCATTAGTAGTGGAAAAATGATCTATACCATCCTGTGTACATGATTGTCAATAACTGAGGCTTATCAATCTGAAATCAGGATGTAATAATGCATTATTCTGTTTTATATTTAGACGCATCTGTAAAACAGATTTTAGTTTAATGACCAATGAATGTATAGATGCTCCTAAGAAAAGTGGAATCTGAGACATTAGAATAAAAAGTATTTTATCTCTCTCATTCATGCAACATAAATGGAATTTATTCATCATCAATGTTTCTTAGTGTTTTTGTATGGAATTGAAGATAATAAGTAGATCAGAATTCAGAACTTTGTATTTCATACAAGGTTGCAGAATATATTTTGACATTTTCTTGCAAAAACAATAGTACCAATCTTTTTACAATTGTGTTTTTTTGTTTGTTTGCTTTTCAAAAACAATAGCAGTAATTTTCTTTCTATACAACCCAGGATATGGTTGGCTTTCTGGGCTGTGAGGGCAGCCCAGACATGACATGCTGGACATGAACCAGCAATGTGCCCTCGCTGCCCAGGAAGCCAACCATATCCCAGGCTGCATCAAAAGAAGCATGGCCAGCAATGCAAGGGAGGTGATCCTGCCCATCTACTCTGCACTGGTGAGGCCTCACCTGGAGTACTGCATCCAGATGTGGAGTCCTCAGCACAGGAGAGACATGGGCCTGTTGGAGCGCATCCAAAGGAGGGCCACGGAAATGATTCAAGGAATGGAACACCTCTCCTACAAGGACAGGCTGAGACAGCTGGGGCTGTTCAGCCTGGAGAAGAAATGGCTCCAGGGAGACCTGATAGCGGCCTTTCAAAATCTACAGGGGAGCTATAAAAAAGAAGGAGACATACTCTTTAGCAGGGTCTGTAGTGATAGGACAGAAGAAAATGGTTTCAAACCAAATAAGGGGCAAATTTAGGTTGGATATAAGGAAAAAGTCTTTAACAGTGAGGGTCACTGTTAAGGTCACTCGCATACATTGCATCTCGCATACATTGCAATACTCGCATTACATTGCAGAGATGTGGTGGAAGCCCTGCCCCTGGAGACATTCAAGGTCAGGCTGGACCAGGCTATGACAAACGTGATCTAGCTGTGGATGTCCCTGTTCAGTGCAGGGGAGCTAGGTGACATGACCTTTAAAGATCCCTTCTGACTCCAAGTATTCTATGATTCTATAATACCTATAGACAATTTGAAAAGTGAGCAATAGTTGCTGAAAGTATAATGAGTGGCTCTTTCCTCTCCTTTAAAGGTGAGATTTAAAAAAAAAAAAAATTACTTGAATTAAGATATTATTTCTATCATGACTTTAAAATAAGAACCCATGTTACCTGTATGGCTGTGAGGATATTGGCTAGCGCCTGCCCATATGTATCATGGCAGTGAACAGCAAGGGCACTCAGAGGGATTTCCTTCATAACAGCTTCCAACATTCTTTTCATGCTTCCAGGAGTCCCCACACCAATTGTGTCCCCCAAAGAGATTTCATAACAGCCCATACTGTACAGACGTTTAGACACCTGATCAGAAACAGAAACAAGAAGAGGTCAAGACCAAAGAGTGAAAATAAGATCCAGAATATACATTAAAAAGAATACATTTCTCTACAGGTTTCAGTTTTAGTCACAATGAGTGGGCCTATATATCAGAAAACCTCTATTCGTTCTTCAAAATTGCACCCCAAGAAGAACATCCCATAGATCCTCGCCTTTTCAAGTTTATAGGTCTGTTTCTATATATGGAAAAACCAACCAAGCAATCCATCAACAACTGCTGACTCTCCCACATAATCCAAATAAGACAGACTTCACACTGTGAACTAAGATTCTGTCAAGCCCTTTCCCAGCATTTTCCTCCCTCTGGGCACTTCCCAGCTGTTTGTTTTTCTCCATGTACTTTTCAGATTACAAATTACAGGGTAAAGACCTGCCTTTTTGTTTGCTTACTACACAGAATCAAGCATGTGGCTTAGTTAAGATAATAAATAGTTAAGAAGCTTGATTTGGCTTTGTCTTGGTACTGAAAACATCAATGAAAACTGAAGTTTTAAGATGCTTGCTTTTCATGAAGCCATTCATTAAAACACAAATAAAAGCAAAACTGCAACTCAATTTGACTCAAAATTCGAGTTTTTAAATCCTTTTTTTTTTCCCTAAATAACAAACAAAACCTCATACTTGTTGCTGTTCTTACAGAAATAGTGCCCTAAATGTTTCAGGAATTATGTCTTTGCTGAGTTCATTGTGTGAGTATGAGATCAGTTTGCACAAGCAGAGACATACACAAGGAAGCAACAATTATGCTTGCACTGAATATATTGCTTGAGAAATTGAATGTAGGAACTTCCTATTCTAACTTTGTCAAATGTATTTGGAAAAGGCTTCAAGTGATTTACACGTGCTGAGTATGTTTGTCTCCTTTAGCATTTCCCAGTGTGCATCAGCAATCCCAACAGGCCACTCCATTGGAGAGGAATCCTAATCTGGACATCAACTGTTTAGAAATGAAAAAACATGACTTCTCCAAGACGACTTTGGTTGCACTGCTCTTAGCTGTTAAAGCAATTCCAAGACTTCATCAGCAGGATTGCTGTGAATATGTCTGAGGAAGCTGACAAAGTGCTGTGCTAGCAGTCCCAGAAGAACTGGATCAATATCGTTGTTCACTTAATTCAAAGAACAGCTGAAAAAGAAGTTCAAGTGGTCTGAGTTGTCTTGCTTAAAGCCTGTAAGTGCTATGAGCATTGCAAATGTAGTAAAACTCCTGCTTTACAGTCAAAGAGTTCTTTGGTCTTATCAATATATATTCCATATATACTTAAGAAAGGGAGGGACATTCACCAGATTGCAAAAATGAATTCTAACTGCAGCATTTTTATATCAACACATTGCATGTGTTTAAACTGAACTGCTTTTATAACACAAAATGGATCAACTACAGCTAGAGGTGAATTACCCCCAGTTAGTTCCCAAACATCAGTTTTATTTTGTTTGTTTTCACATCCTTTTCCATGCTTGATTCATTTTATACGTGAGTATTTTAGTGATGACAAGGAGACTATATCAACTGCTAGAAATCCTATTGTATTCCCTTCAATCCTTTGCTGAGTTCTTCTGTATTCCAGCTCCCTGAATATGTAGTCCTGAAAGAAGAAAATGAGAAACTCTGCTAACAAGCTGAGCTCATTATTGACTTGTCTTAAATCAACCCTTAAAAAGAGAAATACGTTTAGTTTCAAGAAGAATGTGTATGCTTAAGAAATGAATGAGTTTTTCATGCTGAATTTTCTGATCTACCATACTAAGAGACAACTCATTAGTTATAAAGTTTTGTAACTTTTCAGTATGAATTTCTGAGAGTAAGGTAGGGGACAAGAGAACACACCATTTGTCCAGTGTAATCAGAATGTGTTATAGGTTTTTAATTGAACAGTTGTGTTCTGCACTACTGAAGAGTTTTTCTCTGCATCAGCCTTGGGTTGCTCCCTCTGGGAGTACTACCCTGACACCAAGCATTGATCAAAATGGAAGTTAGTGACCCAACACTGCAACCCCAGAGGCATGTGAATAATTCTACTGTTGCAATGAAAATCTAAAACTATACTCTTAAATTTAATACAAAAGGTCATAGTCTAGTTACTAACACTTTTAAGTGAGTAACAACATAAAAACACTCTGCAGTCCTTGTGATGCAAGAGAAACTTTGCAATAATGTAAAACAATGTTAAAACAAGATTAAGTATATTTTCTGTAGTCTGATCAGTAAATAGAAATTACTCCATAGTTAATAACAATATGAATAAATACTATTATGAATAAATATTTTTATGGAAAACAGTTAAACAGAGACTCTATTCCAAGAAGAAGCAGATTGATAGAAAAGTTATCTAGTTTTATTTTAATACATTAAAAATGCTTTGTTTTGTTTTTTTAACTTTCAAATAAAGAACTATATGCATGAACCAGATGTATTCTATATGCATCTGAAGCTTGGAGTCACTAGATAATTGTAAAATAGTTATGACCTATAACTAAGGTCATAAGCCTGAAATGCATGTAGGTTGATGATCCACCTCTCTCTCCTAATTGCTTTTGCTTCAGTTAAAGCTTCTGTTTAAAAGAAATTCTGTTCTCTCTCATGACAGTATCAAAATAGCATAAACCTTTCAATCATAGCTGTTGATTACAATGCACAATCAGATGCTCCCATCCCAAAACAGATGATGACCCAAGAGGCAGATTTCTGACAGGTTGAGCAACAGGACCTGTAATTTTGATCATTTTGGTTCAGCAAAGGATGAGTGCAGATGTTCACATAAAATCCATTAACAGCTAATCAGATACTGCTATAAAAACATGAATGCTTGCTGAATCAAGGCCTGAATTAGTAACTTTAATGAGGAAGCTTTCATTCTTAAACTCATACATAATGGTGTAGAGGTATACAAAAAGACACATACTAAGATTTAGACATAAAATAACTGTGAACATTAGATAGTGCTCCCACTGTAAATATGAAAAGGGGTTTTTCTGCACAAGGAGAGTAGCTAGTTCAAGAAAACAAGCAACACATGGAAAGAAGCCTGTTGGGGAACATGATATTGCAGTAAGCAATTTACCAACAGCACAGCTGAATCTGTCATCACCACTCTAAGTAAAGCTCTGTCACTTCTAATTTTCACTTCATATTAAAACCAATTAATTTAGAAATACTGAGTACCTTCCAATATAGCTATTTTTTCAAAGAGTTCAAGTATTATGTGGCTGCTGTGGGAGCAGAATTATCACAAGTTCCATCTGGAATGTACACCAGAAGAAGATGCATGAGAATTGGACCTGAAAGCCACACAAGGAGAACACAATAAATCAGGCAAATGTTGACTAGCTGCTAGTGCTACCAAAAAAGTGGTTTGCAGATTTTGCTAAATCATCAAAAATAGGTGATTAAGTGTAACAGAAAAGACAAGTCTTTCTCCAGGAGGAAAGCTGTGTTCTGCCTTGTGCTGCTTAAATTCATGTCGCCCTCAGTGCACTCTTCATCTTCCTGCAAAATATAACACTTGTGTTCTACTCCCCAGTTTTTTCAGTCTGCTAGTTCTGCTAGCAAATAAAAGGCTGGACTTCATTGTCCTTTATCCAAAATGGAAAAAATCAGTGGAGAGAGGTGTACTTTATCACAGGGGCATGAGTCAAGTTGTAGGAAATCATGTTGGGGATGAGTTCATATGTCACTCATGTGGTTTTTATGGCACATGCCAAAACACAAAGTTTTACCTGTGACTCTGCTGGCTGACTGCAAGAGCAGACTCACGCCAGCGTAGAGTGGATCATCTCATACAACTTGGCCCACCGACACACATGCTTGGATCTATTTCTTTAAGCATTTCCTTACTTTCTTGTTGAAGGAAATAGTACATTACACATTTTCTCATGACTGAAAACAATCAAAACACACAATTTTCTTTAGATTTGACCACAGATGGTAAAAAAAAAAATAGCGACATTGTGCACCCACTTTTAGTATTATCTGTGTTTTGTTTGTTTCTCCTGTTATTCATTAAAGATCTTTTTTAGGATTAATTAGATAACATGACTTATAGGCATTTTCAAATATATATTAACTTCACTAAAAAGAAAAGCCATAATTTCACTCTTACTTCTGCCACTTTAGCTGGTGTGATGTCTCCTTCATATGGGCATCCCAATGCACAAGAAACATACCTACAGTAAAAAGAACAACACACAAAGATGCTTTATTCTATATATGCATTTCTGTAACCATCCATGCTACATTAAAAAAAAAAGAAAAGCTTAAATATAATTTTGAACAATTAAGCTAGTCAGTGTAGAATAAAGTTCTCAATGAGAAGTTAAAATTACATCAGATGAAAATAGCAGGTTTCCCAAATTTCTTTTTAAATCACAGAACAAGATTTTATAGTTTTATTTATGCTCAATATATGTTACAAGTTGTAAAGCATTGGCAATGCAGCCAAGTTAACTGCTGCAGGAAACTTCAATTTTTCTCAGTATTTCCTTTACAAGTTACAAGAGTCCACTCAAGTTTTGCCTTGCCTGGCCCACACAAGCTATTTAGAGGAAGCATCCTAACACTTCCTTCCTTGTGTCTGCTACCTGGATCACAGAGAGCAGTAGAAGGACACAAGCAACTTAAAACCACCTCACCACTTCATTAGTAGGTGGAACTGCAATGAATAGGGTAGCTTTAGCCCTTTGTGCTGCCATCTCTGTCCCAGTGCCCCAGGAGAACTACAGCTTCATTGCTTGGGACAAGAAGAAATTGAGAAACCAGACTGCGTCTCTCAGCAGCTGTCTATTCTGCAAAGCACAAAAACTGAAAGCCACAGCTGAATCTTCATTGTTCGGTCTTAATGCCGCGATAATGTAGAATTGGGTATAAATTTCCTTTTCTTAATAACAATTAAAAGCCATTATATTTCTGATTGTTTATCTTAAATTGATTAGGAATAGGATTAAACCAACCAGAAACAGCCATTCAAAATCAAAGTATGTGCTGCTGTCGAGGGATTTACAACAGCTTCAAAGGCAGGCAAAGTCCCAGCCCCAGTGGGAAGTTACTCAACTGCTTAATAGGAGAACAAGAGCCTTCATCGATCCCCTGTCGTTCCCCTTCCCTCAGCACTGAAGAATATAACACAAAATTATACATTGTATAATGAAACTAGATTGAAAAGATGCCAGTTTGTACATAGTCAAGGTCCATAGGGTAAAATACACATTTTTTCTTTGCAGTTGACAGAGAAACTGATTGATAGAATGTGAAATCAGGATGAGTAACAGGCAAAAACAAATTGTGAAAAAATGTCAGCATTTTATTGCATGGAACATATTCCATCCTTTATTTCAAGGGATGTTGTTGGCACATGAGAACTAGCAGTGAGAATGAAGCAGATCCTGAACCTAAAAAGCCCTTGATTAGCCCTTACAAAGAAATGGAAAAGAAAGTTCATTTCCATTTCCACAAAAGTGGTTGGGTACATTACATCCTACTTGTAATTTTAACCCAGATGCCCAGTAGGCATGATTTCAATTATCTTTATGTTATTATGAAAACCAGGTTTTTCAAACTCAGCCATACACTTTATTAAATATCCTTCAATTTAGTTGTCACCATTTAAATTTTAACATTCCAAATTTTTTATCTACATAAAACAGTAGCTACCTTTAACAGTTAAGCACTGCTCTGCTTTTCAGAAACATATAACTCAGAAACAACTGGAGAAAATTTCCTTAATTTTCTTGTCTGCACACAAAGAGTTTTTCAAAAGCTACCAAACATGACAAATGTCAGAACCAAAGGACTGGTTATAACACAATACCATTGTGCCTACAGCCAGCAAACACACAGACTTCTAATGAAATTATTTTGCAATATCAACCACGGCACTCATTGTGAAGTGAGGCAAAACCAGTACAAATACAAAACATACAGTACTTATTTACATGTTCACTTTAATTATGTATAACTTACATGTTACTAGCAGTTATATACCTTAGATCAGTAAGACCTGCATTTAGTAGTGACATCCGGAATGGCATATGGCAAACAGAAGTAAAAATAAGCCAAAAGGTACCTACAGAACAAGGAACTACTCCCTGTAGTTCCCATCAGCAAGCAGAAACTCGCCTGAGTTCACATAATGCAGCTGGGCCCGCTGGGGTATGAAATTATGTGGTGACCTAAGGAATCTGTCTACTACAATGCACAAATCTGTTTGAGATTATGAACTCTCCGCATGCTTCCACCATTGTAATTAGAATGAAATTTTAAACAAGGAAAATATGGCAAATATAATCTAACTGGGCACCTGATACTCAATATTACACTGGAGAAAATAGGGACTACGGAAAAATTAGCCAGGTAAAGGAATTCCTACCATAGAGAGCAAAGTTCTAAGGATAATGAAATAATTGTTATTAGTAGAGCTTGTCAAGGATAAATGCTAAGGATTTGGCAGAATTTAAAAACGCGCTCATTTAATGAGTTGCAATTAAAAATGTGGTGATAACATGAAATTTCTTGGTACTGTCCTCAGCAAAAAAGCAGTGGGATTCTATGAAGAAAGGACAGAATCAACAGAAATGAGACGCAATATGCGGCAATGACAAAGGAAGTGAAATGCCTGAGACCGTAAAATAGTGAAATGCACTCCAAACATATATCAGGATAAGCATTTCTAGAAGAGAATATAAAACATGAATTTCATTTGACAAGTTGTTTTGTTCTCATTGGAGAACAGACATGATTTGAGTCATCCATAGAAAAAGCTGGAACAGATGCCTGTAAGGGCTGGTACAGTTAGCAGCAGTACAGACGATCTCTCATGTGAAAAGAGAACACATGCATGCCTATGTGAAAGAGGGAAGATAATCATTTATCTCCTCCGAGCACTTGCCAAGACATCCACACTTAAAGGAGATCTGTGTGGGATGCTTTGTAATTGCGTTTGTATGATTCCAAATCAATAAGCTCGAGGAAGAGGAGATAACTTTATATTAAAACCAATTTGTTATCTACAGATACATTTGGCAGCTACATTTTTAAATTTGAAATGATCCGTAAGGCATAAAAAAAGAATCCAGCCAAGGCAAGGGCCCTAAGACCTCCACCCACACCCTTTCAAATTGCAGACAACCTTGAAGAACATGCTAAAGAACTGGTTAGAAAGAAGAAAATTAACAAGATAGAGACACAGGAAGCAACAAAGTACACACATTTAAAGAAGAGCCTGGTCCACTGCAGCAAACACTACTGACAAGGCAAGAAGAATGGAGATAGACTACTGTTTCTGAGATCCTGTCATCAGGGAGTTTGGTGAGAGCTGTTGCAAGGAACAGAAGCCAAAGTGTAGGAGTTATAGGAGAGAATCACAGAAGAGGGTCTCCAGACAGTAATTATAAACAGCGCCTTCAATGAGCTTAGAAATGAAGCAGAGATAGGCAATGAGATATGATATGAAGAACCAAGGGTCAAAGGTGCAATTTTTAAGAGGCAAATGCTTGCTTATATTGCAATGGAAAAGAGCCAGAGGACAACGAGAGGTTAAGAAAGAGAATAAGGGAGGGATGAAATAAGAGGGAGAACAGAACATGGGGTCACTGGGGCAAGTGGAAGGGGTACAGATGGAAACTAGACAAGAAACTCCTGCTGCTCAACAGTGGAGGAAAAGGAGAAAAGATTATGGAAGGGAAGTGACAGAAGGAAGAGCACAGTGTATCTATTTTTCCACATGAGAAAAAGCAAGACATTGTGTGAAGAAAAGAAGCAGAGGGAAAAAGAGGGAAGAGTTTGAGCAATAAGTTACAGAGACAACTGGGATTTAATTTGGGGATTCACTTAAGTTAGAGAATACAGCTGTTTTCTACAAAAGATGGCAAGACTGAAAGAAAAGAGGAATTTGTAATGAAAGACTGTCTTGGTCTCAGGATATTCACCAGAGACACTCCTCAGTATATGAGCAGAAGCAAATATCTGGGAGTTCACACAGCAGACTTTGCAATGGAAGTGTTTAATTCTAAGTATGTGCTTAAATCTTTGCTGAAGGAAGGCCAGGCATTTTAGTAGCTTAACTATGTCTTTAGCATTCTATCACTAAAAGGGCTCAAGCAATTGGGAGCAGAAAGAAGAACGTGCAATATGTGAAGTTACCTATAAAGCACTTTAGGAACACAAAGGTAGATGCTGTTTTCCTCACTCAGGTTTTATGAGACCAATTACTTCCTTTAGTAAAAAAGTGATAAAAAGATCTCTACTTGCATCCCCAGGCAGAGTTTGCCCAGTCTCTTGCCTGTTTTTTCAGACTTCACTGCAGGTGAGTATCATTTGAGTTTCTCCTAAATTGCCTTCTATGCATACAACAACAATTTAAAACACAAAACCCAACCAATTTACTGTGTAATATTTTGGACAAAAATGCTGAACAGCCTCTGGGGATGGGGAGGGATAAGGAAGAGGAAGAGAGTTTTCAATTTCTTCCAATAAGCCAAAACTAAATTGCTGTGCTCCACAAATGGTATAGACAGTAGAAAGTCCCCGAGATCAAGGTGACTAGGAGCAGTGATAATCACCACACCAGCCCAATGACTGTGAAATGTAGGATACGAAACCACAAACAGGGTAAATGAACAAACTTTTCATAACCAAAGTGTTAAAATGAAAATGAATCCAAGCAGAAACTCAACTCCATGTTGTAATCAGCCCTTTGTCAGCTTGTTTCAGCAGGAGTTTGAGAGCCAGATCCACAGCTGCTACCACAGCTGGAAGCACAGAGCCTCCTGAGAAGCCAGTTGCAGACTCAGATGCTGCTGTTTCCTGTTTATTATTATAGTGTAAGTTCGCATATAATTTACCATGTTCACTGCAGATGTATTTATTTTTATTGGATGTTCGTGCTAAAATGTATATGCCTATCATTTGGTGAATTCATAATATTAAGGTTGATATATTCTGTCTCTTTGCAAAGGAAGCCGTTTGTTAGAAACACGCAATTTTACTGTAAGGAGAGGGGAATATAAAGAAGAGAGGGGGGAAAGGAGATTGTTCTAGAAACAAAATCTCCAAGACAGCCTCAAAATGTGTAAATAAGTCCAGGATTTTTTTAAGTACTTAAAAAAAAAAAAAAAAAAAGCCCAGAAAACACCACTAAATTCTATGAGTGATTTCTCAACCTCTCTAAAAA